GGTTATCATCCGAACATTGTGAAAGTTGTCGGAGTGTACAATAACGAGAAACGGTTGCGACTCGTTATGGAGCTGTGCGACGCGGGAGATCTGCTGGGGCTTCTAACGAATCCTCCCAAGAAACCGCAGGCGGAAGTTAATAACGGGGATAACGGTGCGAGTAAAGAGGGTGATTCTAACAAAGGAGCAGCAGGCAACGAGACCAAGCCTGAAGAGACCCGAGGGAAACCTTTCACCAAGATTTCGCAATTTTTCAAAGGGCTGGCCAAGGGGACTACCGACCCAAAAACGGGGCTAACAGCAGGGGCTGCTAAGAACGGGGACAACAGCAGCAGCAGTGGCAGTGCACAGCCCGAAAAAATGCTACAAACGGGGCTGTCGGAACGGCAGACGGCTCTGATGTTCCGGCAGCTGGTAAAGGCTGTGGAGCACTGCCACTCGCGGCAGGTGATTCACCGTGACATCAAACTGGAAAACGTTCTGCTCAACCACTGCTGTTGCTGCAAATGCAAGCCTGCTGGCTCAGACGGAGGAGCACAGGAGAATGGAAACCAGCAGCAGCAGCAGCAAGGCGAGCCGTCTACCTGTTCGGGTTACGTCGTTAAGCTCGCGGATTTCGGCCTGGCGAAGCTGCTGCAGCCAACACAAGCCATGGCGAACGGCAACAAGGGCAGTCAGCTGTACAAGGCACCTGAGGTGGCGCAGAGCCGGTGGTATACCACCCAGGCGGACATGTGGTCTCTCGGCGTGGTGCTGTACGCTTTGCTAAGTGCGAGGTTTCCGCCGAGGGATGCCCAGGGGATGGTGGCGTGGGAAGCGGTTTCGGATCAGAGGTTGTTGTTTAAAGGGGGGAGCTGGAAGGAGGTGAGTGAGGAGGCGAAGGCGCTAGTGGGTGTGCTGCTGTCTTGGGATCCAAAGGGGAGGTTGGATTGTGGCGAGGTGTTCAATCACCCATGGCTGGTGCAGCACTGCAGATGAGACAGAGGAGAGGAGCGAGGGGAGATTGGTTGGAGTGGGAAGGAGCAGCGGCTGTATTGTGGCGAGGTGTTTAACCACCCGTGGCTCGCGCAGCACTGTCGATGAGGGGGGAGAGGATGAGGGATGAGGCAATGTGGAGGAGAGAATGATGCAACAGGTGTAGAGGGTTAGACAGGCAGCTGCCTCACTTCACTTCATTTGCCTGCTGTGTCGTCTCTTCCTTCTCCCTGGAACCTTGAACAATCAGTACTGTGGTGAGTGCTGCAAATAGCACTTGCCTTGCTTGATTTATACCTGATGTTTTTATTAATTTTGAAGTGCACTGCATTACCGAACAAGTATGCTAGTAGTGTGACATAAACGACCCCACTTGAACCATGCTATACAATGAATAAATCCACCATGGGTGATGGTCTAGATTGAGAACAGGCCAGTGTTCACTGCATGCAGCCTGGTTGGGGAAGAGTAGAGACAGCTGGAGTGGGGGGGCTGAGTCAGGAAAGAGACAGGAGTGAGCATTGCATTGCCAGTACACTGCAGAATTCTCAAGAGCTGGACTGGGGGGTTGCTAGCTTTGCCGAAGGTCTGCTTATGTGCTGCACAACGGTAGAGGCTTGGAGCAGACAGGGAGGACATGGAGGAACAGATGGAGCCGCCGTAGGGTGCAGCAGTCAGAGGGCTGCGGGGTGGGGTCAGCGACATTGAGAATTCTCAAAAACCAGCTTGGAGCAGACGAGGAGGACATGGAGAATCAGATGGAGCCGCAGAGTGCAGCAGGCAGAGGGCTGGGGGGGTGCTGGGGCCGGCACTTTTTAGGCGCCTTTTTAGACGGAAGTAGCCAGACGGAAGCAGCACGGGAGGATCAGGCGGGCTCTATGACGAGACTCCAGAGCCCCGTGAAGCTTAGCCTTGAGAATCGATTGCCTTGCGAGGGTATTGGGAGTTGAGAGTCTTAAAAGCAGCAGCAACGGTGGTTCAGACAGGCTCCGTGACGAGACGAGACACCAGAGCCATGTCTATTTTGTAGGAACCTTAAAATTCAGAGCGCCAGCTTGAGAATCATAAGATTGAGACTCCACAGCCTTGCGAAGCTGCACTTGAGCATCAGGTGTGGGGAGTGGGGAGTGACGGGCAGGGAGTGGGGGAGTAGGGAAAAGAAGTGGGAAAAATGCTTGTTTTGGGGGACTCGCAAATAGCTTAGGGAAGGTGGAGAGAAAGTGGAGAGTGCGGAGAGAGAGGAGGCACACAAACGTACACTTACCTCTTCAAATACTCCTCTTTGAGTTCTCGCTAGTTAATTTGTCAAGCTTTCGCCCCAAGAGCTCTGAGAAGCTCAGCCTGAGCTTCGGGGCAGAAGGCAGATGCGCTGCGGCGAGCGCAGGGCAGGCAGAAGCGCTGCGAGAAGAAGAAGCTGCAGGCAGGCGAGCAGCACACAGGGGCGCGGCAGAGGGGAGAGAGGAGAGAGAGGAGGGAGAGGAGAGAGAGGAGGGAGAGGAAAGAGAGGAGAGAGAGGAGAAAGGGGACAGAGGAGGCAGACTTTCTCTTACCTCTTTGAATACCCGCTCCTTTATTCGTCAAGCTTTCGTGCCAAGCGCTTTGAGCAGCTCTGCCTGAGCCTCGGGGCAGAAGGCAGACGCGTTGCGGCGAGCGCAGGGCAGGCAGAAGCGCTGCGAGAAGAAGAAGCTGCAGGCAGGCGAGCAGCACACGGAGGCGCGGCAGATGGAGCAGGCAGATCCGAGGAAGAACGCGCGACTTGGATGGGACGAGCCACACCCGAATGGATCCCGGCAGATGTAGCCGTCCTCGAGAAACCTGGCGGGGGTATCACCAATGATCATTACCAGGAACGGACATTGAGCCAGAGGCAGAGGCGGAGTCAGGAAATAAGACAGGAACAAACATTGAGCCGCACTCGAATGGATCCCGGCAGATGTAGCCGTCCTCGAGGAACCTGGTGTCACCGGGATGAGTATCACCACACCAGGAACGGAGGTTCGTACCAAGCCAAGAATGAAGGTTAGGATTTAGGACATAAAGCAGGCAGATGTAGCCGTCCTCGAGGAACCTGGTATCAGCAGGAAAGGGCATCACCGGGAACGGAAGTTACAAGTAAGCAGCGCACGCATTGAGAACACTTACGCGATCTGCGGTGCGAATGGCGGCCGCCGGCCCAGGTAGTCGTAACGCGCTTCGAGTTTGCACAGCGTGCACGTGAAGATGGTTTCGCGGGACTTTTCGACCGTCGTTCGGTCCACATCAGAAGATTCCATGATCGCAGTCCGTACAAAGAAACGGGACCCGTGCGAAGAGGCGGAGCGGGAACCAAACGAAGAACAAAAGCAGCTGCAATGAGCACTCGTTCACATCGAGATGCTCCAACTGGGTCTTGCGAGGATCGCTTTCTCCAAATCCCTATCTACCACGACCAAGTCGATCGCCATGGCGTCATCCGCTCTCTCCAACGCTCACGCGTGTCCGAGCATTTCCGCTCCATAACGAGATTGAAAAAAACAAGCAGAAGCTAAGGTCCTTGTACACGTTTCCAGCAAAATCGTTAACCCCTTTAAACAAGATTGGATGATTTGCTCATGTGTAAAGTTTGTTTCAGAACTCGACTCTTATTAGAACAGTTCATTCAGATACGCAGCTCCGCTATCGCCACTAGATTTGGGATGTTTTTTTCACTAAATTCACTAGCTTCGGCAAGCTGGCAACAGAAATGAGCTTCTTTGCCACGCTGGAAGTCAAGCCGTTCATCAAAATTCCATTCACGCTACCCAGGGCAGGCATCACGCTATGATTGGCTAATGGCCCATTGACTGTCTCGTCAGCAAAGCCAGCACTTTCAGTTCTTCCAAATAGATTTGTAACCGTACGTGAGAGCTTTGAAAACAACTGAACCGCGCAAATCACAATCACACAAGACCCGCAAATTTTGCTACTCTGTGCTGTACAAACCGAGCCGTGATGCTGTCCCGTTGAGTGGAGCACGGCAGCAGCCAGGGCACTGGGGGCCAAGACACAATGCCTGCCCAACCATGGCTCGTTCTGGGCCACGGGGCAGAACGAAAGCAAAGAACTCAACTGAAGTCGTGCCGCGTCTCTTGTTTCATTTCAAATTCCTCCAACGCTCTCTGCTTCCACCAACACCCGTCTCACACTTGTCAAGTTGGAAACAGACACTAGGTTTCCACTCCCACGGCTTCGAGTTCTTTCCAGTTCCTATTGACGAAACTCGTCTCGTCTTCGCCGACGTGGATTCCATATCGCGCCCTACCTGCTCTCATCGTCCCTGATGGTTCTTTCACGATCCTGTCTCAACTCGAAATAGCTTTTCCGTAGATTCTTTTCTGCTATGCGGAAACGAACACCGGAGCTCTGCTTTCGTCATTGCTTCTCAAGCGCATTTCTTGGTCTTGAAGCTGTTCTGCCAGAACAGACTATCGCCAGTCCTACGTAGCGTTGCAATAGATTCGACGGAGAAAACAAGGGCGGTAAAATTCTACTAATTATTGTTTCGCAATAGATGTAATATCGAACGTCTCTAGGCTTCATCAAACATGGCGTCACCTGGAGCGATAATCATTACTAGAGCTCTTCTGCTCTCCACCGCACTCCTTTCCACGATTACCACTGGCGATACTACTATTACCAGCACCTTTGGTCGTTCGAATTCGATTCCTAGTACCAGCTACGTTGAGATATTTTCAAAGGCCTTCTCTAGACGTTTTCCTTACGGAGCCAGCGGCAGCGGAACACCTGATCTCCCTCTCGGTTCGTCACCCGTCCCGACAGCTATAGTAACTGACACCGCTGCAATAACACGTCCTAAATCGAATAAAATCGGATATCGTCTTCCGCGTCGCATGGCTGGCGCTCGAATCAGAATCACAGACAACCCGCAAGCAGAAAATCCTCAAGATTTTGTCGAAAAACACCCCACTTCAGCCAGCAAAGACGAGCCGCCAGCTTCCAAGTTAACTTTGCCTCGACCTACTCCGCATGCACCACTTCCGCCACCGATGACGCTGTTGGGAGGTCCGCGCAGGGGTTACGTGCCTGTTAGGAGGCGGAATCCCAGCGGCGGTCTCCAATCGAGTCGCCAGATTAGCCCGAGTGACGGCACCCGCCACCGTCAACTGCGCGATCGCGACAGGCAGGCTGAGGAGGAGGATGGCGAGGCTGGCATGACCGAAGCTGGAGTGACCGAGGCTGGGCAATCCAAAACAAGCCCCGACCTGTACTATAACGGAGGGCCTGTTATCGCGGATCCGGTCGTCTACCTCATCTACTACGGCACGTGGCCTGAGAATTCCGGAGCTGCCATTATCGATAATTTCGTGCAGTCGCTGGGAGGGAACGCGAGCAGGCAGGGAGGGCCGAGGGGTGAGAGCAGCGTGAGCGGCTGGTGGGCGATCACCACGCATTACTTTATGACACGGGCTGACCGCAAGCTGGCGTACGTCACTCCTAAGGTGGGTGACTTCTTGTGACTCCTAAGGAGGTGGGGAAGAGGGTACCTTCTCCCCCCCATTCTCCCCTCCTTCCCCCTTTACTTTCCCTCAACCCCATGCATGTCTTCGTGCAATTCCCATCTGTCAGCAGCACCATGCGTCGCCCTCGACATCCATACTCCATTCCTAGCTCATCCCGATTTCATTTCCCTCCTCCCCTCCATCCGTACCCGTCTTTCCCTCCATCCATCCCGTTTCCTCCCTCCGAACCACTCTGCAGGTTCGGTTTGGAGGTTCGGTAGTGGATCAGGGCTCCATCGGCCATTCCTTCTCCGACACCGAGATTGCCAGGAGTGAGTCGTGTTGACTTCTATCTAAGTCGAAGCATTGAGAAAGCTTGGAGTGTGTTGCCGATCAGCCCTCCTCTGCCAACGCCTGTTTTCCCTCCGCTCTGCCTTTCCTCCTCCCCTCTGCATTCCTCCTCCGCTCTGCCTTCCCTCCACCGCTCTGCCTTCCCTGCTCGTCCTGCTGCAGACTCCACATCAAGCACCAAGAACGCTTGAAGAGTGTTGCCGATCAGCCCTCCTCTGACAACGCCCTGTTTTCCCTCCGTCCTGCCTTCCCTCCTCCGCTCTCCCTTCCTTCCTCGTCCTGCTGCAGACTCCGCATCAAAATCACCACATTCCCTGCGTCCCCTCCGGCCCAAGTGCCTTCGCCCCTCCATTTCAGTCCCCCCCCCCCCGTCGTTACCATAGTTTTTCCCCATCGTCTCCTCCCCTCCTCTCCTCCCCCGTCTTCCTCTGGTCGTTAACCGCAATGTGGGCACGGCACGACCGACCAACCGGCTGCCGCACAACCCAATCGCTGCCACCAGAGACCCAATCGAAGGAGAAGGGTATGCGATTGGGTAGTACAGCTCCAGAGCTTCAAAACCTTCCCCTTCGTCTTCCCGACCCCGTTCCCCCGTCCCCCTTTCCCCCGCACTCCAGTTGTCGATCGCAACGTGGGCAAGGCCAACTGTCTGCCGTCCGATCCAAGGGGGGCCTACATCGTGCTCACGAGTGTTGACGTGCCCTCAACTTCACATGCCTTCTCACCCCCAACCTCCAGTTGTAGACCACAACGTGGGCAAGGCCAACAGATTGCAGTCCTCGTGTCTCCTCTGCTCGCCTCCGCATGCCCTGCCTTCACTCGTTTCCCGGTCTCTCTTCTTCCCCTTCCCTCCCCCTCCCCCACCCCCCCCAACCTCCAGTTGTCGATCGCAACGTGGGCAAGGCCAACCGGCTGCCGTCCGATCCGAACGGGATCTACATCGTGGTCACGAGTGCTGACGTGGATGTGTGGGAGTTCAGCCGCTGCAGCTACTGCGGGTGGCATGCACAGATGATGGACATGCGCACTGGCAGCCCCATAGCGTATGCATTTGTGGGGCACCACTCGCTGTGCTGCCAGTACAGCAAGTAAGTGTACCATTGCACTGTGCTCGTATTGCCAGTGGGTCACCACTCGCTGTGTGGCACCATTCCCTGTCTTGACAGTGCGGCTTATAAAGAGGACAGATGATGGGCATGCACACGGGCAGCCCCGTAGCATGCGCGCTCGCCGGCCACCACTCCTTCTGCTGTCCGTGCATGCAGCTCCTCCCCCAACGGGCTGCCAGCCATTGGGTTTTGAGACGTCTAAGAACTCAAAACTTTTGAGACGACTCAGACCTCAAAACTTCTGAGACGCCTCAGAGCTCAAAACTTGAGATGTCTCAGAACTGCCCGTTCATTCAGCTCCTCCCCCAACGGGCTGCCAGCCAGCCAGCCATGGACAGCATGGCGTGCAGAACAGCATCGGAACACCATGGTGATAGTTGCAAACCTTTTGAGTCGACTCAAAAGTGGGCTTCCCAAATATTGGTGGTCCCAAATATCGGGTAACACCATGGTGATAGTTGTGAACCCGTGGGCTTCCCAACTATCACCACTAAAGCTGCTGATGCTGACCCTTTCCTTTCCTCCCTGCCCACCACCATGCTCCTCCCCCTCCACCCCCATTCCCGCCTGGCAGCTCCTCCTTCAACGGGCTACCAGCCATAGACAGCATGGCGAGCACCATCGCTCATGAAATCACTGAAGCTGCTGACTGGGTGACGCCTCCTGCCTGCTAGACCCCCCTGCCCACTCCCATGTCCCCCTCCCTCCCACCTCCCATCCTCCACTTGCAGCTCCTCGGGCTACCAGCCATAGACAGCATGGTGAGCACCATTGCCCACGAAATCACCGAGGCTGCTGCTGACCCCTCCTGCCTGCTTAACCCTCGCATTTCCCTGCCACCCCCCTGTCCCTCAAATCCCACCCCATCCCACCCTGGCCGCTCCTCCCCTAACGGGCTGCCAGCCATAGACAGCATGGTGAGCACCATCGCCCATGAGACGACAGAGGCCACCACCGAGTACACTGGGCTGGGCTCTCCCCGCGACCACCACCACTGAACCTCTACCCATTTCCTTCCCCATTCCCCATCCCCATCACCCTGGCAGCTCCTCCCCCAACGGCATGCCAGCAATAGACAGCATGGTGAGCACCATCGCCCACGAGATCACTGAAGCCACCACCGATCCGGACATTTCCTCGGGCTGGTTCGACGCTTCCGGGCAGGAAAACTCCGACAAGTGCGGCTCCTTCTACGGGCAGCCGGAAGAAATAAAACGCGCCAGCGGCCCCAGCAGCAGCACCAGCGGCGGCAGCAGCAGTGGTACCAGCAGCAGCAGCGGTAGCACAACCAGCAGCAGCAGCCGCCACAGGGAGAACGCGTTTTTCAAATCCAACTTTGCAGCCCCTCAGAGCGATGAGTACGAGTACGAGTATAACATGGTTGGTAACCACGGCATGCGTTACATGGTGGAGGGCAACTGGGATATACTCACACGCATGTGCCAGATCCAAGGAAAGCCTCACGACCCTAGGTCCACCGAACCTGAACGGCTGGCTCCGAACCAGGATTTGGTTGGAGGTTCGACAGAAGGCGGATGGAGAGCGTCGTTTTTAAGTGATTTCGCCGCTACAGGTTCCGCAGCCCTTAGTTCTGCTGCTCCAGGCTCGGAATATATTGTCATCCCTCCTGACGATGGCGACAGCATCGGATCCCTGCCCCCTCCCAGCTCTGCCGCCCCAAGCTCAGCCGCCCCAAGCTCTGCTGCCCCAAGCTCTGCCGCTCCAAGCTCCGCTGCTCCAAGCTCTGCTGCCCCAAGCTCTGCCGCCCCAAGCTCCGCTGCTCCAAGCTCTGCCGCCCCGAGCTCTGCCGCCCCAAGCTCTGCTGCCCCTAGTTCGGAGTATGGCCCAGGTTCGGAATATGCCCCAGGCTCGGAGTATGGCCCAGGTTCGGAGTACGCCCCAGGCTCGGAGTATGTGTACTACCCACCTGGATCTGAAGGCGAGATTGGCTCATTGGCTTCTCCCAGCTACGCCGCCCCTAGTTCCGCCGCCCCTAGTTCCGCTGCCCCTAGTTCCGCCACCCCTAGTTTTGCCGCCCCTAGTTCTGCCGCCCCTAGTTCTGCAGCCCCTAGTTCCGCCGCCCCTAGTTTCGCCGCCCCTAGTTCTGCCGCCCCTAGTTCTGCCGCCCCTAGTATCTCCGCCCCTAGTTCCGCCGCCCCTAGTTCCGCCGCCCCTAGTTCCGCTGCCCCTAGTTCCGCCGCCCCTAGTTCTGCCACCCCTAGTTCCGCCGCCCCTAGTTCCGCCGTCCCTAGTTCTGCAGCCCCTAGTTTCGCCGCTCCTAGTTTCGCCGCCCCAAGTTCCGCCGCTCCTAGCTCCGCCGCCCCTAGTTCCGCGGCCCCTAGTTCCGCCGCCCCTAGTTCCGCGGCCCCTAGTTCCGCGGCCCCTAGTTCCGCCGCCCCTAGTTCTGCCGCACCTAGTTCTGCTCTTCCAAGCTCTTCCCCTCCCAGCAATGCTGCCCCCAGTTCTGCTGCTCCCAGTTCAAATAGGGCACCTGGCTCGGAAAATGCACCAGGCTCGGAAGTTGCACCGGGTTCAGATGCAGCACCTGGCTCGGAAACAGCGCAAGGTTCGGAATTGGCCCCTGGTTCGGAAGCAGCTCCTAATTCGCAGGTTGCTCCAGGTTCGAACGGTGCTCCGGGATCAACTAATGCACCAGCCTCAGAAAATGCTCCAGGCTCTGAAAATGCTCCAGGCTCGGAAAATGCTCCAGGCTCGGAAGAGGCTCCAGGCTCGGAAGAGGCTCCAGGCTCGGAATATGCTCCAGGCTCAGAAGATGCTCCAGGCTCGGAGAACGCTCCAGGTTCAGAAAATGCTCCAGTCTCGGAAGAAGCTCCGGGTTCAGAGAATGCTCCAGGCTCGGAAGAAGCTCCAGGCTCAGAGAATGCTCCAGGCTCGGAAGAGTCTCCAGGCTCGGAAGGATCTCCAGGTTCAGAGAATGCTCCAGGCTCAGAAGATGCTCCAGGTTCAGAGAAAGCTCCAGGCTCAGAAGATGCTCCAGGTTCAGAGAATGCTCCAGGCTCAGAAGATGCTCCAGGTTCAGAGAATGCCCCAGGCTCAGAAGAAGCTCCAGGTTCAGAAAATGCTCCAGGCTCGGAAGATGCTCCAGGTTCAGAGTACGCTCCAGGCTCGGAATATGCTCCAGGTTCGGAGTACACTCCAGGCTCAGAAGATGACCCTTATGCTCCAGGGTCGGAAGGTGCTCCAGGTTCAGAAGCTGCTCCAGGCTCGGAATATGCTCCTGCTCCAGGCTCGGAATATGTTTCTGCTCCAGGCTCGGATTATGCTCCTGCTCCTGGCTCCGAGTATGCTCCTGGCTCGGAGTATGTTCCACCTATTGAAGACCTCCCACCTGATTTGGAGCCTGCTCCAAGCTCCGAGGATGGACCTGGTTCAGAATATTATCCAGGTGGATCAGATTCATTGAGTTACGCACCTGGATTCGGAGATTCTTCAGGTGGATTGGATTCAGGGAGTAACGCACCTGGGTTCGGAGACTATTCAGATGGATCGGATTCAGGTAGTTACGCACCTGATTTTGGAGATTTCGCGAGTGGATTAGATGCAGGGAGCAATGCACCTGCATTCAGAGATTATTCGGGTAATCTGGATTCAGGAAGCAGCGCACCAGAATTTGGAGATTATTCAGGTGGATCGGATTTAGATAGCTACGCGCCTGGAGTGGGAGAATATGCGGGTGAGAGTCTTTGAAATCTAGGCAGCCGAGACCTGATGAGCTTTCGGAACCACTCTTTCATTACTAAGAGAATAAGGACGGATTCACGTCTTTGCACTCGATAGCTTCCTGCATTTCAGCTCGTATATCACATGCGGTGTTGTTCTGATATGGCTATGGATGGTGGCATATGGTTCTGCTACTAAGAATCTGCTCACAGCGTTCCTAGCATAGTGACAGCTGTGGAAAATACTGTGGGTGGGATGTGATGTGAACAACCAACAGGCTCAGTTTTCTTCCCTGAACCCTACCCAACCGTTCTTAAATGTGCGGAAACACAGTGATACGAAGCATTTTCCCTAACCTCAGTGAATCAAAACTGGAAGTGTCATGTCTATGTTCAAGGGGAAATGAGGAGTTACCGAAGTCCAGAATATTTAATGTTTATTTATATAGTCACCAAGAGTTAAATGTTTGAGGTGTTCATATTGGCTTCACACGGCCTCGTAGTGAGTACAATAATGGAACCAGCCAGTGACCTTGGACGTGCGCGCTTCGTGAAGTGCTGCTTCCTTCCCATAAGATTTTCGTGACCTCGAGTTACTTTCTCCTTCACTGTCTTGTTCGCGACATTCGCCCCAAACCACCAAATGTTGAACTTTTGCGACAAGCACAGCACACCCCTACCCGAATAGTTGGTGAGGGGGGGGGCAAGCAGCATTTTCTCCCATCCCCAACAAAAATGGCGCGAAAACGGGCTGTGTGATCTGTGGAAATGGCACCGCCCAGGGCTCCTCCAACCAACATCGTGTATTCGTAGGTCAAGCTCTTGAGAGCAAGAGAGAGGAGAGGGGGAAGTGAGCACTGAGCAGAGGCAAAAGCATGTAACACCAGCTGTGCTTGCGCGAATTGGAGTTAGGTCGAATCGAGTTGAGTCTCGAAGTTAGGTCAAGTTATAGTCTGGTGTCCAGGACTACGGCCATAGAGTTGAATAGCGCCCAGCTACTTCTGAAAGAGCATTTCCCGGACTGTTTATTCACACGCATTGTTATCCATGCACGAATGCTAGCCCAATGCGCATTTGCGACAATGGTAACATGACTAGCATTATCGCAAGGTCTAACAGTCTCGCGCCAATGTCCGTCTAGCTTTTAGCTCAATACACCATTTCGCATATTTTTTTATCGCGACTAACAGAAATGGCCCACAGGTTTGGCTCAAGTCGTTTAGAGAGGCGAAACAGTATCGCGGACGACTCGGACCCATGCGCGGGCGACGGCAACGGGCAGGGGCGCTACGGCCAGGGGGAAGTCGGCTGGTGCGGCTCGCTCTTTTCGCGCGCACCCAAGCGCGGCGGACCCGCGGGCCGCTTGCGCGGGTTCACATGGGACCCGTGGCGGAATGATTCGGGGAGCGGCGGTGGCGGCGGAGGCGGAGGCGGAAGTAGTGGCTGGGGATGGGGAAGCGGAGGCGATGGCAACATGTCACCGCGCTCTCCGCGCACTCCCCGCACTCCGCGCTCCCCGCGCGCGCCGATAACCCCTCGCAGACGCCGGCACGATGGCAGTTACCGACCCGGCACGCCGTCCCATCGTCCTGGCTCTCCTTATAAGAACGCGCCGCCATATTTCCTCGGCGGGCAACCCCTCGCCTCCGTGGCCGCTTCTGGGTCATACGATCCTGCTAACGGGGGATCGCTTCCCGACGGAAACAGCGGCGGGTTTTGGGGAGGTGGTCCGGCGCTGAGCGCGTCCCGGCGAGCGGGGCGGCAGCAGGGAGGCGGCAGAGACGGCGGCAAGGGCGGGGCAGGGGGTTTCCTGGTGATGAGCGATTGGCTGACGTGTTCGTTACAGTCCCTGCTACAATCGCGTATGGAGCAGCTGAATGCGTCGGAACAGGTGAGCCGGCGGCAGCTGATGGCGGAAACTGCGGAGATGGTTCTCAATGTGCTCGACGCGCGTTCCTCAGACGATGCGCTCGCGCATCGCTCCGAAGTCTCCGCGCTGCGCCGCCTCCAACGGGAGTCGTTCAGCGACCTATTGCACCTTCGCGACCGGCTCACGCGGCTCGAGCTCCTCGCGGACGAGTTCTCCCTCGGCCAGCACCGCGTCGCGCCCGCCGCGTTCCTCGCCGCAAACTCCGGCCGCACCGAGGTCTCGGGCCGCATCACCATCGGGTCCGCGCTCGTCCCAACAGGCGGCCTCCGCTCGCACCGCTCCCGAGCCGCGATGGAAGCGGCGGGACTGCGCTCCGGCGTGCAGATGGCTTTAAATCTCGCGTCCCTCTGCCGGTCGTCGGACCGCCTTAGTACCGTTCTAGGAGTCGGGCCGCCGGACCCGCTAGGCCCGGCATTAGCGCTAGGCGGCCCGGTGGTGCTGCAGAAGGCGGTGTATCGGGCGCAGGTGGCGGAAGGGTTGGCGGTGACCGCCGCGCCGATGGGCGCAAGCGGAGCGGACCTGGTGGGGGAAGGCTCCGTGGGGGCGGGAGTGCGCGGAGATAGTGCATCGGCTCAGGTAAGCTGACTAGCACGCACCTACGTGTTTCTGATTTCTATCCGTTATCGGCTTTGACATCCTCGTCTCTCTTCCTTGTTCCGTTATCCTTGTCTAAATCAAGCCTCTTTTTTTCCCTGTTCTTCCCGCTCCTCCCTGTCTTCCTATTGGTCGCATATCCGAAGCAGCCACGTGGCCTCACCACGTTTAGCAGCGGCACGATCCCGCTCCTCCAATCCATCCGCGGGTCAGCCCTCGCGGTAACCGTCGACACGCCCGTCCCCGCGCTTTCCCCCTTCCTGCCCGCGGTCTCCCGCGCTCTTTCCGCCATTCCGCGCGCGCTTCCTCCATCCATCGCCCGCGCCCTGGGCCTCCGCTCCTCGCGCCAATCCCCGTACACCCCCCTCCGCCCCTCCTCCTCCCGCTCCGCTTCCGCGGATCCGCCCGCGCTGTCGTTTACTGCGGGAAAGCTAGTCGCGGGGTGGGGGGTTCCGCTGGAAGATCCTTCCGCGCTCGCCGCCGCCGCGGCGGATACTGCGCTCTGCACCTCCGCCATGGGGCATCTTGCGCTCCGCTTTTCCCCCACTCTGCGCGTTTCCGCCGCCGCCGCGTCGCACTCGTGGCCCGCGCCGCCCGCGCCGTCCTTCCCCGGACTGCACTGGTCAGA